TTTTTTTTTAAACTTGGTAAGTCAAAATTGACTAAAAATTACTGAGGGATTAAATTTGACTGTAAAAACAGTAAAGCAGAAATTTGAAAATAGTAAAATTTACTCATTTAAAAATATTTAAAAAGGACAAATTTTGTTTTTTTTTGTAAAACTTTTTAGTCAAAATTGACTACAAATTACTGAGGGATTAAATTTGACTATAAAAACAGTAAAGTACTAATTTGTAAACAGGAAAATTTACTGGTTCAAAAAAAGTAAAAATTAACTAAAATTAATGTCAGTTTCAATTTATAATAAAAATAGTAAATTACTTGAAATAGTAAAATTTACTACCTTGAAAATAGTTAAAAAGGACAAATTGGTATTTTTTGTACACTTTGTTAATAAAAATTAACAAAATTACTGTCAGTTTATAGATTTTACTATGAAAATAGTAAAGTTGCAATTCAGAAATAATATTTCTTATTAATTCGGAAACAGTAAAATTTACTTATTTGAAACAGAAAAATTTGTTTGTTTTTATGGGAAAATTTGTCAGTGAAAAGTGTTAAAAATTGAAAATTATTAACATTACCTATGAATTTCAATGAAAAAAGTAGTAAACTAGCAATTCAAAAATAGTAAAAATTGACTAAAACTTACTGCGAGTTCAAAATTTGACTATAAAAACAGTAAAATAGTAATTAATATTTTAATATATATAGTAAATTTTACTGATTTAAAAATAGAAAAATTGAGTAGTGATTTAGAAATAGTAAAATTTACCGATTTGTAAAAAAAAAATTTGTAGTAATTTTGAAGTAGTAAAATTTGTCAGTTTCAAAAAAATGTTAGAATTATTGTCACTATAAAATTTGGAAATAGTAAAATTTACTTGTTTGAAAATAGTTAAAAAGGACAAATTTTGTTTTATCATAAACTTTGTTAGTAAAAATTAACTACAAATTACCGAGAGATTAAATTTGACTATAAAAACAGTAAAATAGTAATTTATATATAGTAAATTGTACTAATTTGTAAAGAAACCAATTGAGTAGTAATTCGAAAATAGTAAAATTTATCGATTCGTAAATAAAAAAGAATTTAGTAGTAATTTTGAAATAGTAAAATTTACTTGTTTAAAAATAGTTAAAAAGGAAAAATTTTGTTTTTTTTGTAAAATTTTTTAGTAAAATTTGATTACAAATTACCGAGAGATTAAATTTAACTATAAAAGCAGTAAAATTAAATTTGTAGCTAAACAGTAAAATTTACTGATTCAAAAATAAAAAAGTTGAGTCATAATTTGCAAATAGTAAAATTTATTCTTTTTGTAAAAAAAAAATTTGATTAGAATTGACGAAATTTTGAAATTTACTATAAAAGTACTAAAAGTTATTTTATTTCATTTTTCCCCCCTGAATGTAAAATCAAAAAAAAAGAAAAAGAAAGAAAGAAAGAAACGCTCTGGATGGCTTAAAACTTAAACTTAGCATTCACAAACCAACTTTCGTAGTCATGGAGAGTGCGCGAGAGGATGGAAAAGGGGTGAAAAGGGGGGGGGGGAGGGGAAAGAGTCGAAAATAGGAAAGTATAGAGATGTGTGCGACAAAGAAAAATAAGTACAGTGAAGAATACAGAGAGAAGAGGAAGGAAGCAATTCTCCCTGTCTTTGCGTTTCGTGGCATCTAACCAGACAAGGAGGTGGAAGAGAGGAACTTCCCCCCTCTTTCTTTCTCTCTCGTGAGAGAGAGAGTCTCTCTTTCCCTATTTTCTCTTTCTCTCTCTCTCTTTCTTTCTTTTTTCTCTTTCTTTCTTTCTTCTCTTTCTTTCACTCTTTTTCTCTTCTTTTCTTTCTATTTTTTCTTTCTTTCAATTTTTCACGAAAGAGAGAGAGGGAGAGAGAGAGAGAGAGAAAAGAGAGAGAGGGAGAGAGAGAGAGAGAGAAAAAAGAGAGAGTGAGAGAAAGGTAGAGAGAGAAAAAAGAGAGAGTAAGAGAATATCAGAGAGAGAAAAGAGAGAGAGTAAGAGAATATCAGAGAGAGAAAAGAGAGAGAGAGAGAGTAAGAGAATATCAGAGAGAGAGAGAGAGAGAGAGAGAGAGAGAGAGAGAGAGAGAGAGAGAGAGAGAGAGAGAGAGAGAGAGAGAGAGAGAGAGAGAGAGAGAGAGAGAGTGAGAGAAAGGCAATAAGAGAAAAAAGAGAGAAAGTCATAGAGAGAGAGAAGAGACAAAAAAGAGAGACGGAATCCAAGAGGCAAGAGGGGAAGGAGAAAGACGATAGAGAAAATCAAGAGGGTGAAAAGAAAGCTTAGATATAAGGGAGAGAATGGATCCTTCGTTTCTCCTTCTCCCATTGATTTACATCTTGTCTTGTCTCTCGAATAGTGGTAGGAAGCCGAGAAACGAACAAACGAATGGTGGAACGTTAAGGGGTGTAGGTTGCGAGGGGATGATATCAGCCGTTTGTATGCGCGGCCGAGGCCAAACTTTGCTGAATTGCCCTATGACTCCTCTCCTCTCCACCCTCTCTCCTCTCCTTTTCTCTCACTTTCCACGTGCCCACCATTTCAGAATTCTCCTTCAGCCTATATGTTAACCGATCTTCCCAAATTTCTTCCCCGACAGACAAAAAAGCAAAAAAAAAAAAAAAAATTCCACTTCTGCATTATTTAAATTCACCAAACAATCTTTTCTCTTCTTTTTTTCAAATTTAATAAATTACCGGGAAAAATAAAATCTTCTGTAATTTAGAGAAAATAATTTTTGTCGGCAGTCAGGGAAAAAACAATTTATTTCTTTCGTAAATTTACTAATTTACCAAAGCAATTTTTTTTTATATTCCTATTTAGTGTTTTAAATAAATAAATTACAACAAAATTATATTTGCAAAATAAAAATAAACAAATACAAAATTAAAAAAAGTAAAATAAATAAAAAAAATTTTTTATCTTACAGAAAAACAATATTTTCTATGCGAAAAAAGAAAATTGACTTTGTATGTCTGTAAATTAAAATTACAAAAAGAAAATTTTGTTTCTAAATTAATGAAATAAAAATTTTTCTATGAAATACTAAAGGGAAGAAACTTTTTTGTAAATTGCAGAAAGGAAATTTTGTCTGTAAATTTTCAGAAAGAGAATTTATCTCTAAACTACAGAGAGAAAATTTTTTGAAAATATTTTTTTTACGACAGTAAATAATGGGACGAAAATTTAGTTTAAAAATTTAAATGACAAGAAAAAAGATTTTTATTTATAAATTACTGAAAGAAATATTTTTTAAAAATTTTAGAAAGAAAAAGTATTTGAAAAAAATATTTATTTACTTTTAAAGACAGTAAATTATGGGACGAAAATTTATTTTGAAAATTTAAATGACAAAAAGAAAGAGTTTTATTCATAAATTACTGAAAGAAATATTTTTTATAAATCTTAGAAAGAAAAAGTGTTTTAAAAAAATATTTATTTACTTCTAAGGACTAAATTATAGGAAGAAAATATCGTTTAAAGATTTAAATTACAAAACGAAAAAGTAATTCATAAATTACTGAAAGAAATTTTTTTCAGTAGAAGGAAAAATATTTTGAAAATTGCAGAAAAAAAAATTTTGCCTGTAAATTACAGAAATAAATTTTTGTTTTCCAAAATACAGAATAAGAAAAACTTTGTCCAAGTTTCAGAATAAAATAGTTTTTGTAAGTTTTGGAAAATTTCTCGAAATTACAGGAAAAAAAATCTACTTTCAAAAAAAAACCTTTTAAATATGGTAACAAAAAGATTTTTTATAAATTACAAAAAATGTTTCTAAAATAGGGTAAATGCACTAGTAGTCGGACACTTAAGGATACAATCTTAAATTATGCTTTTTTTCTTGAAATAGCAAATATCTACTGTGTTTATAAGCACATTATTAATTAAAGAAGTTCTTCAGGATTAAAAATCATATAAATTTGTTACAAATAGTTGAGTATTTAATAAAATATAAACATTTTAATAAAAAATTACGAATGCTTTAGTAGTCGGACACTTTTTCCCCTTGTTTCTATAGTCGGACATCTGTCAGATATTTTGAATGTATAAAGTAAAAAAGATAATTTTTTAATTGCTATCTGCTGGAAAATGGAATTAAAGCATATTAGAAGTTATTAATATAATATTTAAACCCTATAAGTTTTAATATTTATGATTAATTATCAACAAAACTTTGTGCCACTCATCACGCTACTCGAAAATGGTTGTATCTATAGTCGGACACCATGATTTTTAAAACATTAAATAAAATATTTCTTGTTTAATTATTTTCGAAAATAACACTATTTTAATAAAATAAAAACTTCACACATTCGTCTAGTATACTTTTTAAAGTAATTATCACAATGCATTATTATTTATTTGCCAAAAAACACGAAAGTGTCCGACTACTAGTACTGTCCGACTATACCCGCACTTACCCTATATAAACAAATTTTTTGTAAATTAGAAAAAATAATAAATTTCTAAAATGTAGAAACAAATATTTTTTGTAAATTAGAAAAAATTATTGTTTCTAAATTACAGAAATAAAAATTTTTTTCTAATTTACAAGAAATTTTTTTTCAAGAAATACAAAAAGAATTTGTTTAAATATAAATTAAAAAAAAAAATAAAATTACCGGCCATAAAAAAGTAGAGAGAAAATTGAATAAATTTCGCTATAAATTATTGCAAAGGACATGGATTAATAATAAATTGATTAACCGCTTAAACTTGATTTACCAAGTTAACAGATATTAAAATATTGTTTATCTTGATGATATAATCACCTTTGTTGAGAATCGTTCCATCCGCTAAGTAGTAGATTGTTTCTGCGAACATAGCTTTAAGTTTATATCTCCATATAAAAGTGATATAGCAATTTTTGCGGTACACAAGTTTAAGCGGATAAATTTCTTCAAAAAAAAAATAAATAAATAAATAAAACAAAAAGAAGGAAAAGAAAAATTAAAAGTTGCGGAAAACAAAGTACATGTGGTTTTTCTTACACTCACTATTATATTCGCCAGGATCACTCGGATCCAATCTCTTCGCTCGACGTCCATGTTTGCTATTATTGTGCACAAACATATTGTCAGAGACGGCCAATAAGGGACCCTCAACGCCGACTTGCGTTGATATTACAACCTGTAAACAATAAAAAAAAATTATTTTATCCCTCCTTCACAAAAATATAATTATTTATTATTACTGTCATTATTTTTCTTATTTCATTTTAATTTAACTTAAAAATAAACATTTATTTTAACTAACTTTATTATTGTAATTCTTTATTTATTTAAAGTTCGTATGGGCAAAAATCTTTCAATATTATTATACTGTAATTTTTTATTAGACATTATTATTTTTATTATTATTATTAATATTAGTTTTTACCATTTTTATTATTACAAATGTTACAAATATTTTTTTTTTTTTGCTTCTTCTTAGAGAAGAATTTTTTTTTAAATAGGGGCGTTTTTTTTATTTTTGTTGGCTTATACGCGACTATAAATAATTTCTAAAGTTTCTAAGAATAAAAAAAAATTAAAGTGAGAAATAAATAAAAAAAAAATAATATTCATGGGAAATTTTATATTCGAAGAAAAAAAGCAATGTTTCTGGTACCAATAGGTAAAAAAAATTGTATTTAAAAAATAAATAAAAAAATAAGTGAAAAAAAAAAAAAAAATAAATAAAAAAATAAAATAAAGGAAATAAAAAAGGTATTTGAAATAAAAAGCTAAATCGATAAAAAGAAACAGTGTCACAAAAAGAATCGACGCAGAAAGAAACTAAAAGTTGCGTGATTAAAAATTTGTCAAGTGTATCACTTTGGTTATCTAAAGAAATATTCCTAGAAATGGAAATTTCTCTCTCCCCCAAACAGAGCACAGCTCTGAGAGCTTAGCATTTTAATTTTCAAGAGTTTCAGCGATAAGCAATTCCCAAAGAAATTTCTAAGTGTAGTAAATGTTTTAATTTTGGTTGAAGCTTCTTGGTTTGCCAAGTAAGGGGGGCAAAAGGGATTCACAAAATAGGGATAAAAGGAAAAAGTTGAGGAGAGGAGAGAGAGGAGGAAAGGAATCAGGGCAAGAGAGGCAATATCCTTCTTTTTGTTATTTTATTCTTTAATTCTGTCTTTTGTTTTGTCACACCAACTCTCAACGTCTCAACTCAAGCAAAGAAGGATAAAAAAAAGGTTATTTCAACCAAGAAGAAAAAGAAGAAGGAGAAGAAGAAAAAAAATTATAGTAAGAGAGACGCGTCTTTCTAAATGGGAAGTGCTGATGGGATGCTGAGCTAATTACTGGATTCCACCGAATAGAGTGCGGTCTCTGACTTCTGCGACACATTCGCTTATCGTAAAATGTCCCATACATGAAACCCTTCCCCTCCCTAAAAAAATATAATATCTACTGTACAAGAAATTATTTTTTTTGTATCATTTTTTTTCTTAGAAAATTTATTTTTGTTGATTTATAATTTATTTATTATTCTCTATTATTCGCTATAAATAATTTACTTATATACCTACATAATCCCTCCTCAAAAAAAAAAATAAATAAATAAATTTTTATTGAAAAAAAACAATAAAAAAAAATTAAAAAAGATATTCTACCGGAAATTAATTTTTTTTTGTCTATTTTCCATTCTTACAAAATTTATTTTCATTAATTTGTAATTTACTCATTTTTCCTTATTATTCGCTAAACTACTCGCTTATAATAAATATACTACATAAACCACCCTCCCTTAAAAAAAAAAATATTATTAAAAAATAGAAATTAAAAAAAAATTTCTTCTACCAGAAATTAATTTTTTTGTCTATTTTCCGATAAAGAAAATAATTTTTTCGGCAGTTTGAAAAAAAATTCTATTGTAATTTAATTTAATAATTCTAAGCGGACAGTAAATTATGAAAAAAAATTACGTTTGTAAATTAAAATAATAGGAATATTTTAATTAAAAATTACAAAAAGAATTTTTTTTTATAAAAAAATTTTTATAAAAAAATATTTTCTTTATAGAGAGAAAATATTGTCTACAAATTACAGAGAAAGATTTATTTCTAAAATTCAGAAAGAAAAGGTTTTTGGAAATTACAGAAGAATATGAAAAATCAATTATTTTCAATAGTTGTAATAAAATTCTTTAGGCAATTTATGAATAATAAAAATCTTCGTAAAGAATTCAATTATTTTTATATAAATAATAAAATTCTTATGAGGATTTCACTTATTTTCAATCACAATTTTAATTAATTTCTTCGAAAATTTCAATTATTTTTAAAAATCTTCTAAAAATTCTCCAAGAAAATTCAATTATTTAAAAAAATAATTGAATTTTGTTTTTCACAGGAGTTAAATTATTTAGAAAACTTTTAATAAAATCCAATTTAAGAATTCAATTATTATTAAAAATAATGAAATTTTCGCTGGAATTCAATTATTTTAAATACAATTTTAATTAAATTCCAGGGAAAATGCAATTATTTTTAAATATTTTTATTAAATTCTTCGAAAAAATTCAATAATATCAATGAATTGTATATTTTAAACAGGAATTCAATTATTTTAAATATAATTTTGATAAAATTCTTCTCAAAAATTCACCTATTTTTTATATTTCTCAAAAATTCAATTATTCTTAGAAATAATAATTTTTTTCTCAGACATTCAATTATTTAAAAAAGTTTTAATTAAATTCTATTTAAGAATTTAATTATTTTCAAAAATAATTTAATTGTCGATTTACTGAAAATCATTGAATTCTTGTAAAGTTGTTCTTGTAAACAAAATTTGAAAATAATTTAATTAATTTCAAAAATTTTATCAATATTTTTTTCAATTATTAATTTCTTTCTTGAAGATGTAAATCTTTCGGAGAATTTTACAATTCACAAAAATTATTGAATTGTTTCGAAGAATTTTGTTTAAATTTTTGAAAGTAATTGAATTTCTAGAAGGAATTTTATTAAAAAATTTTGATAATAATGATTTTTTTTTTAAAGAATTTCATCAAAATTGTTGAAAATAATTAAATTTATATTAAAATTCTTGAAAGTAATAGAATTTGAATAATATTTTTTAAAATAAATGTATTTTTTCGAGATATTTTATAAAAATTGTATTGAAAATAATTGAATTGCTCTAAAGAATTTTCTTATTTATTAGAAAATGAAATTTTTGGTTAAAATTATATTAAAATTTTTGAATAATATTTATAGTATATAATAAACAAGAATATTTACTATTATGTACTTAATGAGTGAATTCTTTAAATTTTGAATCTGTAATCATTCAAAAATTGATGTTTATTCTTGAAAATATAAAATTTCGTATTTACAAAATAATAAAAAATGGAATACACCGCGTTCCATGCACTGGCGAGCATATTATTTGCTAGTTTAATTATAAATTTTTCATAGAATATATAAATAACTAATAATAAAATAAAAATATTTTAAAATATAAAAAAAGACAGAAATTATGATTTTTTATCGTATACTTTATAATTTAATAATTTAAAATTCGATTCAAATTCAATTATTTTCAAAAGAGAGAATTTATCAACGAAACTTGGAGAGAAAAATTTTCTTCTCCTCAGGAAAAAAAAATCGAATGAAAAAAACACCAATAAAAACTGTAATTTCTTTGACAAAAATGATAATTCCTTTAGTGGTGGAGAACTTGAGTAAACTGTCGGGTGAATTTTCTAAAAGAGAATCCCGTGTGCTTGGATCATTTCGAATTTGTCAAGATCTTGAAATCTCGGTTGGTTTTTTCTTTTTCCTTTTTTTTTCTTGAGGGAAAAAAGCAAGAGATGTGCGAATTAATTTAAATTAAATTTTCGACGCTCTCACCTGAAAACGTCTCATGTCCCGTGGATTTCCAGCGTTCTTAAGACAGTTCTGGTTGCACTTGAGGAAGAACTTGAGGAAGAATCTGAAAGCAAAGAGAGAAAGGAGAATTAGTGTTGGTGAAAGAGTGAGTGAGTGAGTAAGATCGGGTTATACTGAAAGGCTTAAACGGTTGACATGGTACTTAACGCTCTTCAACGTTGGGAAAACTTAATTAGAACGCCAACTCGGCCGGAAAGCGAGCCTGAATACTGTATAAGCCAATCGTGACCCTGCTTCACTTGCTTCTATTATTCAGTATTTCTCTAGATTAAACCCCGACTCACGTGGTTCTCTTCTCTCCGACCTTTATAACCAAAATGGGGCCGGCAACATAGAAAATACCACGCCAAAGGCACGTTAAGTTTCTTAAATGTCAATAGAAGCATTTACCTATAACCTATATTTTTGCCTTTTATTATTTTTTTTCCTTGACGAAGTCTAGAATTTATAACAACGAGAAAAAAATTATTTCTTTTTATTTTTAATTCGAAAATTCGAATTGAAACTCACCATTTTGTAAAGGAATTTTTTAATGAAATACTTTTCAAAATTTTTAATTTTAATCTTCTTAAATAAAGATTAAAAATTCTTAAAATTTATTTTATTTTGTTTTATTTTTAATAATATTGCATAAAATTTCAATTAAATTAATATTTTTTTAATAAAATTTGCTTAACACTGTCAAAAGAAAGGTACTAATTTAGTACCAATTTTGGTACTAAATCGTCATTTGGTTTTATTTTAATACCGAAAACAGCTCTAATTTAGAACATTTTATTTACAATGAAAAATTCAAGTAACTTTAAAATTTTGAAAAAATGCATTCCTAAGAAATTTTAATAATTAAATTAACATTTCCTATAAATCCAATTTTTACAGAATTTTAATTGAAATTAGTAAAAAGTTAAATAATTTTTAAAATAAATATTTATAATTCTTTTTGTTGATATTCTTTTAATTGATTCATATAATTCTTATATTATTAATTTATTCACAGAAAACTAAAATCCGTTTTCACTTAATTAAAATTAACTTTAAAAAAGTTATTTTAAAATTTAAGTATTTAAAAAAAAAAATTAAGACACTCATTCGAAATTTATTGTGATAATTAATTTAAATAATTTATTTAAATGTATTTTTACAGTAGAGATTTAAATAATTAATTTAAACGTATTTTTAACAAAAAAGATTTAAAATTATTATTTTTCAGTAGTAGAGATAAATTGTAGGTCAGACAAACTTAACATATTATTCAAAAATACAATTTAAAAATTTTTTATTCAAAGTGAATTTATTTTTTATTATTAATCAATCACAACTAATAATTAATGAATTTAAATCAGAGTGATTTGAGATTTTTATTTTCAGTAGCAAAGGTAAATCTTTGGTCAGACACAGTTCAATAATAATATTTCAAAAGAAAATTACAAAATTATGACTAAAAATATATTTTTGCTGGGAAAATTAATTTTTTTTCAGTAGTACAGGTATATTTTTGGTCAGGTAAAGTTAACATATTTTAAAATACAAAAATTATGAATTAAATTAAATTTTTTCTGGAGAGATTCAAATTTTGTTATTTTTAAGTAGTAGAGGTAAATGTTGGTCAGACAGACTTAGCATATTATTGCCAAATAGAATTTTAAAATTATTTCAGAGTGTATTTTAATTTTTAAAAATAATCAGTCATCATTATTTTTTAACTAATTTTAATCAGAGAGAATTGATATTTTGTATTTTCAGTAGCAAAGCTAAATCTTTGGTCAGACAAAATAAACATATTATATTAAAACATATTCTGAAATTTAGTTTAAAGAATTAATTTTATTTTTTACTGAAGAGATCTAAAATTATTATTCTTCAGTAGTAGAAATAAATCTTTGGTCAGACAAACTTAAAAATTATTTCAAAATATAATTTAAAATTTTTGATTCAAAGTGTATTTTAATTTTTATTATTTATAAATTATTTATTAACTAAATTTAATCAAATAAATTTGAGATTTTTATTTTCAGTAGCAGAGGTAAATTATTATTGATAAGACACAATTAACTTATTACAAAACAAAAAAAAATTCTTAATTGACATGAGTTTTTTCTAGAAAGATTTAAAATTTATTTTTCAGTAGTAGAGGTAAATTTTTGGTCAGATAAAATAAAGGTTATTACAAAACACAAATTGAATTTTTACTGAAAATATTTAAAATTTATAATTTTCAAAGTAGTAGAGATAATGTTTTGATCAGACAAACTTAGCATATTATTGCCAAATAGAATTTTAAAATTATTTCAAAGTGTATTTTAATTTTTACAAAAAAATCAGTCATAATTATATTTATTAACTAATTTTAATCAGAGAGATTAGAAATTTATTTTCAGTAGCAAAGGTAACTTTTTGGTCAGACTTAACATTTTTTAATAAACAAAAATTTTTTAATTAAAATAAATTTTGTCTCGAGAGATTCAAATTTTATTTTTAAGTAGTACAGGTAAATTTCTAGTCAGACAAACTTAAAATATTTTGAAATACAAAACTTATTGAATAAAATGAATTTTTTCTGAAAAGATTATTCAAATTTGTTATTCTTCAGTAGTAGAGGTAAATGTATGATCAGACAAATTTCTATTTTTTTGTCCAGCTATAATATTATTCTTTTTATTCTCAAAATTGATCTTTTTTATTTATTATATTATTGTATTATTAAGTTTTGCTAAATTACTTGTTAAATAAACAAATACCATATACATTCTAATATTTTATCCAAAAGTAAATAATAAGAATAATTGAAAGAAAAAATAAATAATTGAGAGCAAAAGCAATACAAGAAAACGCAATTTCACCGTTAAAGTTAAATATTTTCTGCTTTTTTGCGAGAGAGTACGTCTAGAAAGTATGCGTTTGATTTTTCCTATGGAATCTCAAACGCACTCCGTAGGGGGATGACAATGGCGTCCCATGAGACACCACCAGGCCTACCAAACCAACGAACCAACCACCTCTCGATTTCGTCTCTCTCTCTCTCGCGACTCACTCTAGCCCATTCCTGATTGTTTTCTGCGCGTCTCTTTCACTTCTAGATTCTTCTCGATTCACATATCTACTTTATACTTTTTCTCTCTTTCTATATATGTAAAGAGAGAGAAAAAGGATAAAGCTAGAAAGAGAGAGAAAGAGTATACATATATATATTCCCCTACCGTACGCCCGAAAAATTTTACCGAATTCAATACTCCCCCTCTCCCCCCCTCTACCCCGATATTCTACATAATTCATGAAAATTGAGCCGCCGGCTTTTTGGCTATACACACGACGTTGTACCTCTGTGAATCCTTCTATCTTTCTCGTCTCACCTCGGGTTCAGAGTCGCTTTTCTCGCTTTTACCCTTTCCACCGTTTTTTTTTCTTTTTTTTTTTTTTTTTTGACTATATGTCACTTCTATTTTTCCGAACTGCTCACGACTTTTCAATATTCGCGATATCTCTGGTGGTAAGCGTCGCACAAGTTGCCAACGAGAGTAAAGTACACGGTATCTTTCGTACCCGGAAATCTGAATTTCTTGTCAAGTAATGGATATACATGTCAGAGGGGTAAAATGGAAAAATTAACTTGAATAAGATATTTTTTTTTTTGAAACGATATTTTTTATCGTCTAATAATTATATTTCTTCTCACAATTTTTCGAAGAATATCAAATTGAGATAAAAAACGAATCAAAAATGTTGCGAAGCAACATTTTGATTTGTTTGTCTCAATTTTATATTCTTATAAATAAAATTTTAATTTGAAAAATTAGATGTTTGTCTGATCATACATTTACCTCTACTACTGAAAAATAACAAATTCAAAATCTATCAAGAAAAAAAATTCATTTTTAATTAATAAGTTTTGTATTTCAAAATATTTTAAGTTTGTCTGACTAGAAATTTACCTCTACTACTTAATCCTTTGACGACAAGTGTTGCTTTCAGGCAACATGAACATTTTTTTATTAACTCGTGCATAAATTTCTCAATTTTCAAAACTGAATATTAAAACAATAATTTTCACATAGTCTGAAAAATTTCGTATGACAGACACTGGTTTTCAAGTAAAAAACTTCAATAACTTTCCCTGAAAAGTTTGCTTAAAAATCTAAAATCGCGATTTCTTAAAAAAAAATTTTGTCTTCAAAGGGTTAAAAATAACAAAATTCGAATCTCTTGAAACAAAATTTATTTTAATTTAAAAATTTTTGTATTTTCAAAAATGTTAAATTAAAATAATTTACCTCTGCTACTGAAAATAAAAATCTCAAATTTATTTGATTAAATTTAGTTAATAAATAATTTATAAATAATAAAAATTAAAAAACACTTTGAATCAAAAATTTTAAATTATATTTTGAAATAATTTTTAAGTTTGTCTGACCAAAGATTTATTTCTACTACTGAAGAATAATAATTTTAGATCTCTTCAGTAAAAAATAAAATTAATTCTTTAAACTAAATTTCAGAATATGTTTTAATATAATATGTTTATTTTGTCTGACCAAAGATTTAGCTTTGCTACTGAAAATACAAAATATCAATTCTCTCTGATTAAAATTAGTTAAAAAATAATGATGACTGATTATTTTTAAAAATTAAAATACACTCTGAAATAATTTTAAAATTCTATTTGGCAATAATATGCTAAGTCTGTCTGACCAACATTTACCTCTACTACTTAAAAATAACAAAATTTGAATCTCTCCAGAAAAAATTTAATTTAATTCATAATTTTTTGTCTTTTAAAATATGTTAAGTTTGCCTGACCAAAAATATACCTGTACTACTGAAAAAACTTAATTTCTCCAGCAACAATATATTTTTAGTCATAATTTTGTAATTTTCTTTTGAAATATTATTATTGAACTGTGTCTGACCAAAGATTTACCATTGCTACTGAAAATAAAAATCTCAAATCACTCTAATTAAAATTCGTTAATGAATAGCTATGACTGAGTTTTTATAAAAATTAAAATACACTTAAAATAAAAAATGTTTAAATTGTATTTTGAAATA